CTAAAAAATAGTGTTATTTTTATAACTAAAAATTAATGTTTTTATTATGGTTCTGCGAACATTATTGGATTATTAAATATAAATTTCTTGGATCGAGAGTTTTGTATGTTAATTTTAAATCATTTTATATAAAAGTTAATGATAATTTTTTCATACTTGGCTGGACCAATCAGGTTCACCTAATATGGATTCTGAGACAAGCTGGCACAGAGAAAAAAGAAAGATAACTCTATTGCGCAATGCTACCAAGACTATGCTTTGCTAAAATGCTTTTAAGGACTTACAACCTAAAACGCTTTAAAGATGGCTCAGCACAATCAAAACATATCCTAAGAATTATTGACCGGTCACTGTAGATATAATAATCACTTATTAAAGTTAAGAATTGAATCCAACTCAGATACTGTAGAGAAGAGAAAGAAACTGCATACCATGTGCTTAGGGAGTACCCAGCACTGATACACAAGCGGAAGAAACACCTAGGACGGTCTTTCATGGATCATAAGGATCTAAGACTAGGAAAGATAGGCTCTATACTGTTTTTCATTAATGAAATCAGATTTCGAAAAACACACAAAGCCGACTAATGGGCACAATAGATCTTTTAGGTTGCAGTGCATGATCCCTTTACTCAATAATAGTAATGATAATTCCTAAAGCGTACATTTCAGAGTTCAATTAGTTATTGCTTAAAAATAATTTCCATAAAAGAATATTAAATTTAAATTACTTAAAAAATGCCATAAATTTCATTTCAGTAATATTTAATGCAAATTTATATTTTGACAAAAATGTGATAAAAAACTTTAAAATTAATTCATCAGTAGAATGAAAATTTAGAAACATTTAATTATCCGCAACTTTTAATGTTTAACGCTTGCTTAAAGCTTAGAAGCCTTGCAAGCAAAGGATAATTGGCTTAAGGACTATAAATTGCCACTCAAAACCAACAGTTTAATTTCGGAATGGCGATAAGCATTAAAAAGTGTTGCTCATTAAAATCTCACAGACATATGGCGCCGTCATTTTGCATCTTACGCGTTCCAAACTGTGTCATTTAGTTTTTATGCAGTTAAAAATGAGCAAATTTAATTAGCGTAATTAATTTTAATTTTTATAACATTTGCGCTGCTCTATGGAAACGCATATATTCTGCATTCAACTCGTTAAAAGGAATTAGACATCAGTCGGAAATTAAAATGAAATTGTATCTATAAGTGCAGGAATATCAAAAATAAAACCAATATATTCATTTATATTTTTTTAATTAATAAATAATAAATTAATAAAGTGCATTAAACATATATTTTTAACATGTCCTTTAATTGTCTTTTTAACGGTTTTCTATACATATACACAGAATTAATATTGTATATTGGCTTTTGACATCGATTTTATGTTAACATTATGAATTTAATAGTTCAGCAAATGCTTTCAAGAAGTTCCAGAAGACACTGAATTTGGCGAGAGACTTGAGCTTTATAACACTTCCATCACTGATAAAAACATTTAGGAAATTAAACAAAAAGTAATTGCAAATAAAAAAATGTCCATTATGAGTTGTGAGCGTTTATGGAACTAACTATGGTATATAAATGGATTATGCAGATTAGTGGGTTTATGAGAAACTTCAAATGAATTAAGTACAGGGAAGCATTTAAAACTTTAACGAAGGCCTTTGGCGACAAGTCTATGACACAATGATAGATATATACGTTCATATGTAAGCTGAGAAGATACTGATGATCATATGTGATGTAAAGTTTTTAATACACCTATTTGACATAAAAACGTGGGAAAAGCTAAATAGATTTTGATAGATAATAGAAAAATCTGGACGAGAGAGGTTACTAAAAAATGGTAAAATTCTATAATTTATGAGAAATGGTTTTTCCGAATTCCGAATATTCCGAATTTCCTTGTTCGTTTAACAGTTTTTAAGAGAGCATAACACCGAAGTAGTACCACAGCTAATCTACTCGTACTTTTCAGAAATGACATCCTACTATTTTGTTTACATTCCAAACTAAAAACCATATTCAAAAATTAATTTTTTTCAACAATTTTTCAAACGGTAACAGCCTTTTTTTTCCGAATAACAACACCACTCCAATGGTAACGTTCTTTTAGCAATAGATAATATAGAGACGAGTTCAAGACCAATACCTGAAGAGGTGTTGTTATTAAATTTTTCAAACTGCAAGCTATGATGCGTAATACTAAAGAAGGACTACTCTTTAAGTTGTATAAAATACGCATTGAAAATTAAATAAGTCATTTCTGTAGTAAATTAATTAAATATCTAATAATTTTAAGTTATAACAACCAAATGCATAAGCCATATTTAAATGGAAAAGCGCATCAGTACATATATTACCCACAAATCATTTGATATGTCAAGTCGTTCTGTAATTTTATAAAAAGTCTGAAAATTTAACTTTGCAAAACTGATGTGGGCAGAAAACTACTGATAAAAAACGATTACATTGGCCTTTGTCTTTTGTGTAGTCCTCGTATGCTGCCTCAAATTTAGATCTATTAACAGTTTAACAAAATTGCAAGCGGACCATTGCCAAGACATGTTTTTCTAGTTGATGTCGCCAACAAACTTTGGTTGTTAGCCAAAGCCAGATAACATCAAATTGACATTACGAATGTCAATTACTTTTAGTAACTTATTTTTATTCTTAGAAATTGTGTGGTTTTTGAACTCGCCAATAGAGATTGCAACAAAACGTTACTAAAACTCATATACTATAAGCGTTTATATATGATTTTTTTATGGAAAATATTCGTACAAACGATAAGTAAGTTAACTTCACTATTTAAGTTTTATTACAAAAGAAAAGAATAGATTTTGTATTCATTAATTTTATTCAATATAATTCAAAGATTATATTTAAATGGATATTAATCAAATAAATGTATCCTTTTTTAAAATCGTTTAATTTTGTTCATATAATACCAAATTTAAATATTAATTGCCGACGTGCAATAAAACAAAAATTCTCCTTAATTGACCTTAAGCTGTTTTCCGGCGGATACCACAAGTATTGTCAGTTATTCAGGGATATCTGCATGAAAAATATGTTTCCGCTGCAGTTTCACTGCGTACAGCAATGAATGCAGCATGCATTTTGTATTCGTTCTTATGGCACAACCTCGCTGCAATATCCTTAAAACCAATAAAGCCAATAAGATTTAAAAATTCACGGGGTCAAATTGTTAACGGCTCATTTAAAGAGTTTCACTTCTTCTCCCTTGATATTAACAAAATTCGAGTTTATTTATGAAACTCTTCTTTAACTTGATATCTTTTTATTTTTAAATGTTTTTATACAAGCTATTTTCATATGTATATATATATTTACTACAACAAATAAAGTTACAAATTTTAAATGGGTTTGTATTTCTTGAAATATTTTATTTTTGGAGGAAGAATCGCTTTCCCATGGGTGGTCTACCTGAAGTCTGATACAGTACATATAAGTCTTCTGCAAACATAACTAATATTTTGGAATATTTTGAATAAAGAATATTTTGCCGCTCAGTTTTGAAATATTTCTGAAACATTAAAAAACTTTTTTAAACTTTTTTCATATTCTACATACAACTTTTTGTTTGCTTCTTCTTCTTAGTGAAAGTTCATCCGCTTAGAAATCCAATGACTTCAATTTTTGTTTTGTTGACAGCTTACCAAAAAAGTAACCTATGGTTTTCTTGAACCAATGTCAGAAAGTCTTCGTCCATCTTCACATCTTTCATTAATCGTATTTCAATGATCCACTTGATTAGACCGTATTTTAATGGATACCTTAAGATATTACTGATATTACATTTTTTTTTTTATAAATTATAATAGCGCTGCCGAATTAATGACCTGCCCCATCCAAACTCATTTTTAACATAACTCTATAATACGAGATTACAAGGGGTTTAAGTTTATTTATCGATTCAATAGTTAAAGTCTACGATTATACACTTTAAGGCAATGTGGAGGAAATATAACATTCAGCATACGTATTCTCAATAATAATGGCAGCTCTCGGAAATATAAGAATTTTTTTTCGTTATAAAAGTGAATCTTGCCTTCTTGATTTCTACTCGTAATTTTTTATAATTTTCTCATTTTTCATTGAGATGGCATTCCAAGTATGTATACTCTTTCAGTGAACCATTTGTGGTCAATCTTGTCGTTCTCATATGTCATTTGCCTATTATAATATATATATTGTACTTTATTGTAATTCAATTTGAAACTATACCTATTCACTACATTTTCTTGCAAAATCGTTTAAAGGATTCTAGATAACAGATTGTCCAGCTAATCGGTTACTAGCATTGTTTTCTGAAAAACTAAATTGGTAATCTTATAGTAAAATAATTATAGTTTTTGGATCAGAAGTTCAAAATGCATATTTAAATGCAATCATTATTATTATAATGATTGCATAAAAAATTTAAAAATATTATAAATATATACTCACAGTAGTTATTATAAAAATAACAAAAATCATCATGCTAACTATTTTAGGTGAACTTGAAACTTCCCAATACTCAAATAATTCTAGACTAGAATACAGAAAAATTCACTTCATCAAGTTGACACATTTCATTAAAATAATAACGCAAACATTTAAATTAATTTATTAATATTAAATATAATGACAGAGATTATTTGCTAGAATTAATAACAAATATCCTATAGAATGGTCAACAATTTTCATTATTTAGAATAAGTCATTGAATGCTCTTTAGTAGTCATGAAGAAATTGAACATATTGAATCGCGGAATTAGTTTAGTGTACATGGTCATGCATTGGCTACTCATCTTATCGGCTCAATGTACTTTCATCTATTGTAAAGGCACCCAACGAATTAAGACTATGAATTTCTTAAGAACTTATTGCTTCATAGCAATATTCTTAACAATAATCTACGTACCATCTTTACTTTTCGCATTGTTTGTTATGAAAGGGGTAGTAACGCGTCAATTTGCCATGAGATACTTTGTATGCCTTCTAGCCAGAGTTTATCAAATCAGTCATGAAACACAGTTTAAAATACTTATAGGTGAAGTATATGAATTGCTACAGGAACTGCGGAGTTTTAGTAAACACTCGAACTTCTTCCGTTTTTCCCATGTGGTGCTCTGTGTGCTGGCATTACAGAGCATGCTTCGACTAATGGGTGAAGTTTATCTCAGCGAGTCATTTCTACAAATTAGAGGGGTTCTAACATATATGCTTTATACCATGTTCAGCTGTTTCACACTTGTTTCATTTCTTATTTTGTTCACAATGGTGATGATGATTTTAATACTTCTACTATGTTGTTATGATGAACTGCATCGTTGTACTCGACGCATATCGAATGATGTGCGTACGTTACGAATGGGACAAACAATGACGAGCGGTGAGCGTTTAGTGTTGGTGGAACAGTTGCGTTCAATCATGGAGCAGTTGAATACAGTACGCACTAAATTGTTTATGGTGACAACGCGCTTGATTAAGTTCTTCAGATTTTACCTGCTTCTTGGCATACTTTACTGTTTAGTCTTGGCAATGACTGAACTTATAGAGATGCATCCAAATTGGAAGACACTTCATATTATGAAAAGTTCTATAGCACTTTTCAATCTTGCGTTTTATGTATCCGTCTTTGAGATATTTATGTGGAAATCGAAACTTTCAAGAAGTTTTTGGAGTTTACATTTACTTAATTATCATCGTAAATTTGATAGAACAGTAAGTGCGCATTTAATTCTAATAAATATGTTAACAATTTTATTAAATTTTTGCTATATATCTGCTTAGATGGACAAATTATTATACTGCGAACTAGTCGAACATATACAAGTGAAAGCTTATGGGATACGTTTGGACACAAAATTGTTTTGGAAAATCTTGAATTTATCCTACACATATATACTTATGAGATTTGTTTACCAAAAATTTTAAATTTAAATAATAATAAAATGATTTGTTTTAAAATTCAGTATTTATATCTGTACATCAAAGTCACTACTTATTTGTTTTTAAAAGTTAAAATAAATTTTATACAGGAATTTTTTTTGTATATTAGCACTATTCTTTTTCATCCAATCGAATTTATTTGTAGCATTTCTTTCGGTTTCTTTGGCAAATTTCTCATTTCTAAAGGATCTTATTGAGAATTGTGATGAGGCATTAGATTTCACGCAATGTATTATGGTCATAAAAAGGGGTGTCATTCCAAAAAGTGTAAACAATTTATTATAAAAAAAATTATTTTAGAAAAATAATAAGAAAATAGTGGCAATATACAAAACTGAATAAAATTCATATATAAATATTTTTAAAAAAGCACAAATAAACTAACAAGACTCTTAATACTTTTATAGCAACAAAAAAAATACTAAAAATACTACCTTTTAAAACAAATCTTGCAGTTAAGAATGAATGCTAATGAGATTGAAATTCAAAGTAAAAATATATTTAAAAGTTTTACATATAAAACTGAATAACTAGTGGGTTCTTTTGAATAGTTGTTAAACGATTCCAACATTTAAATACTTAGATATATAATACAGTAGCTATTAACCAAAACGAACAATATAAAAGTATATACTATATGTAGATGAATATGGGGTATGTCAAGATAATGTTTGCACAACGTATTACTTATTTATTTAAGTGACATAAATACTTATCCATTTTCCTAAGTTGTAACTTAGATATATGATATATATATATTTGTCATAACGTATCTACCATTTACGATTTTAGTATGCTCTACGAGTTTTTGTTAACTGTATCTTGGATTTTATAAACAATATCATTATGCCAAGCACGGTAGAATACTTGAACAATATTCAATAATATGATAGCGTAAGACTTGCACAACTTGAAAACAACTCTGATCTCATTTATTTTTAATAATAGCTCCTTGAACCTTATTTCGCATACAACTCAAAATGTTGCTAAGAAATTATACTCATTTGTTATTAAAATAGTTCACAATTTCGTTTCTTGATCCTTGTCTCTCATAGCAGTACAATTCGTCTTAAGAAATTGTACTATACTCTTAGACATATCACAGGAACCTTAATTAAAACCTTATTAATTAATAAGTAATTAATTTTTCGAGGGGCATAAAAGCAAAGGATAAGGTGTATAGATACCAAATTTCATTCACTCAAGTTTATGGTTTTTATTTTCAGTGATTTTTTCGGTCAAAGAAAAATTTGATTTAATCCAAACAAGTACTATTGTTTCAAAAATAAAATTTGTAAATACTATATTATATATTATATTATAATTTATTGTTAAATTAATATGCTAACAATGCATGAAGAAAATATATAAAAAAAATCAGGAAAAGACCGGTCCACGATTCAATGCTAACAGAGTTCAATTTTCTGTCTCTTGCAGTCCAATAATTATATACGCACAATTAAATGAACCGATTTTTGCAAAGACCAGTGATGATGTATATTTTGCCATATTCAAAACAGCTGATTTTAGAATTCGAAATAGATTTCGAGTCACAGAACATTCTTAATCCTTAAATGAATTCATAAGAAAAACCAAAACTCATTTCAATACTAAATCTTTACTTTTCAAACATGTATATTTTTTTATTGAGTTCACTTCCGTCATGAACTTGCAATGCATTGCAATTAAGTACCATCTATTCCAAAGTTATAAGAAATATTTTTTAAAGAACTTGTGCTATAAATCCTTATTGAAAACTCATTTGCATGAAATAAATGACCGAAACGAAAAACACAAAAGATAAGCCACGTAAGTACAAACTAAGCACTTTGCAGTGCTCATCCAAGCCCGTGAACCCTCACACTGCAATAAGCAATCCTTGGTTTCAGTTCCATGGAATAGAGTACAGCGAAGGTGGAAACATAAATATGTTCACTAAAATAAATTGCAGTTTCCATGTAGTAACCATGTACCAACTACCAGACACAAAGTAACAGACACAAGTATGCAAATATATCGGCGCCGTGAAGAAGAAATTTCAATTGCACTTTCCAAACAAGAAGAAGCATGCAACTATTTTTCAGTAAGTATAAGACCATTATTCAAATGTGACAAATTTGATAAATGGAATTTGAAAAGAACAAAAAACTATATAAAAAGATTTCTTATTTCTATTTAATAAACAAGAGTCGCTTTGATAATTCTAAATAGAATAGAATTACTTGCAAACATCATAAAAAATATATTTCGTATTTTGAATTCAAGGATATTATTTAAAGTATTTAATATAAAAGATTTAACTAATTATTATTCTAATAAACCTTGAAAAATATTTTAACAATTTATAAATAATTAATTTAATTTCTAATTAACAATAATACTTCAGTAATTTATAATATTTTTATAACTCTCCTTATAATTGTATAATATAGGATATACAAGTTATCAAGCAAGCAATCCTCACCTGTCATAAATCACAAAGAAATGTTGTTGTTCCCTACTGAAGTTGTATAAAAAGTTAATATAATAAACAACAACTAATGCCTGTAATCCGAGAGTAACTTCAATTTAAATCCCACCTAGAAGAAGCTAAGACGATACACGCAATGCCATTGCGGTTACGTTCCGGTAAATTTATGAGAATTTATGCAATAAATTTCAAATTTATGCTATCTTGAAGTCACATTGTGTTGGAATTTCGTACTAAAACTGGGGAACATACCTTATTTATGAGATTGCAAATTTGAAATCCTTTTCGTTTGTTGCTTAGTAGGTTAAGAAACCCTGTGCCAATTTGCATGATAATCTCTACAAACGCTTCCAGTCTCCTTCCACCTTCCACCTTCGAATGAGCGGAGTGCAATGTATGCGAATAAGCGGATTAAGGTATTTGTCATATCAATAAACTTTTCCAAGACCACCCATTTAATCATAAAAATTATTATTGAGAAATGTAAAGTGTTATATGTCCTCTTGATATGCATTTATACTGATTTCCTTCTTATTTTTATGCTTATTCCTTTCTGTATTGCTACTTTCTGGCTCTTATTACAACTTAATCCTATTAGGTTTTACATGTAGTGTAAGTCACTTCATATTCACATCTTATCATCTTCGACAACCTGGTCAAAGGACAAATCAATTTTTAGAAATTGGATGTGCAATCAATTTGAATTACGTGTCCTTATATAAATGAAAATATTTAACTAAATTAAAATATAAACTTTGTATTTTTATTTAATCTCAGAAGATAGCTTCACACCACACATTTATGTCAAACCTTTCGCAAGATTATCCATTTTGCTAAACCGAATAATATCCTATTGGTATTATTGGTGTATAGATACCTACTATATACATACTCAATAATAGATATCTATGGCAGTTACTTCGAAGACAAAGTTCGCCTATTAAACTATAAAGCCTTCACCCTTAAATTATAATGATATCTACGCCAAGTTCAAATGTCGCATGAATCATGCTGAGTACCTATTAGATACCTTTGAAGTGAAAAAAGATGTCCGAGTACTTCCGCCGCATTTATTTATCTAACAGTTTGGTGAAAATATGAGAAATACATATATACATATAGTACCTATATATAGAAATATTGTTGGTAAACAGTAGATATGCCATTCAGTGGCCTCCGTCAAAACAAGTAGAAGATCTGAAATATGCTGACAGAGCTTTTAGTTGAATTTTTAAACTTCAAGCAGAAATATTAAGACAGCTGGGTTGAGTAGTGGTTAAACAGGCAGTAAATAGGTAAGTAATATGCATACTTATACATTAAATTAAAATAACTTCAATAAATAAAGTGTCTCATAAATTACATACGTTTAATGTTGAGCCTTTTCCGAATTAGTGCATCTGGCCACTTTTATTCTTTAATAGCTGGAGGGTTTCTGCAGAATCCCACCCATCTCAGTGACTAATTTGTGTATTCCTCATAAACATCGTGATTATTCAATGACTGATCTAAGATCTGTACAATGCCCCGTGCGGTTAGTAATTACTCTGAGATTAGAAAGTGCTAAGTGCCCTACTGTCCGTTTTCATATATAGCTTCAGGGCTCTGTCCCTTATGTATTTTTTGACCGGATCTATTTTAAGGTCTCTTAGCATGTCATTCGTGCGGATGTACGATGGCACTCTGAAGAGTATTCGGATCGCCTGACTTTGAGTAACTTGTAGCTTCTGGATAGTAGGAACGACAGCTTTGCTGTACGCGACATACCCAAAAAGTAGAGCTGGTCTAATCATCTGGCTTTAGACTAGCTTGTTGTTGTGTTTGAAAAGTTATGGTAAGCATTACAGTGTTTTTGCGCAACTATTTCTTTTGACTTTTATGTGCTTTTGCGAAGTAAACCGCTTATCAAACGTGATGCCTAGGTATTTAATGCTGTCCTCCCAATTAATCGTTAAGTCATCAACTCTCGCTCTCGGTGGATGCTGCTTTAGTCGGGCTTTAGTTGTCTCATTGTTAATTTTTACTTTTCATTTTTAGAAGAACTCCAGTGTGAGATTAACATGCAGCAGAAAAATATTGCTTTTAAGTGTTCATATTTGTGTAAAAAAATATATTCTTTGGCAATTGGCAATTGAAAGTATTTCATTTTATTTTATTGCAATTAAAAACGCATTGCTTTAATTTTTTTTTCTGTTTTTTTACGTACTTAAAATTAATATCTCAATGTGCGCGTTAAAAATGAACATAAAGAAATTTTATTTCTTTATATAATTTTAATTTTTTATTTTTAACAGAAATTCATTTCACTAACAATCCTTCGGTGCCTTGATATTTGCATATAAATTAAAAAAATAACGAAGATTGCAGAGAACCACAGAACTTTTCAGCATTTTAGTCAGTGTTTCATTTTGTAGCTTAAAACTTGTAATTGCACCCCACGGCTAAAAGGAAAAAATATGAAAAAAAAAAAATTTGTATATATTATGTACCAAAACCAAAAAAAAAAAAGGAAGAT